CGGGGTTTAAACCCCCCCCCGCTTCTTTAGCATAAAAAGGCCTGCCGCTTTTTTTCGGCGCGGAGCTTTGCTGGAAAAAAGCGCCAGTCTAGACACGAATCTTTCAGAAAATAAAGCCTTTTCCGAAAGATTCGTGTCTAGACTGGTGCTTTTTCCGGCAAAGCTCCGAGCAGGAAAAAAGCGACAGCCATTTTTATGCAAATGAAGCGGAGGGGATTTAAATCCCCGCTTCATTTGCAATTGCGATGTGTCTAATTTGCATCCATTTTACGGAAAAGGGATGCAGTCTAGACAAAGCCCTAGTGTTTGTACATAAACTTGTCACTATTTAGCAGTCTGCCATCTCCTGATCTGATTGGATGGGACTCTTTCATTTGTCTCTTTCTCATCTGGTCTTACCCACACTTCATTTTTCATCCTTTTTCTAGGACATGAAGAATCTCTAAGGGTATGTCTACACTAGCTCGTTAATTCAAGCTAGGTAGGCAAATCAGGCAACCAGAGTTGCAAATGAATCCTGGGATTTAAATATCAGACTTGAAAGAGAAACCTCTGAACTGTCATTCATGCTTAAATTTGACACTTTACGCTGGGGTCTTAACAAAGACGCTAATTATCTTACTCATTGCAAAGATAGCTTCCCCAATTATCACCTCTAATATCATTAGCTCACAGACATTTACCTCCCTCCCACCCCCCTCTGTTCTGAAATTTGATTTGTCCTTTTTATATGTGTTCACTTTTTTTGATTGTATCCCTTTGGTATATGGTCATGCCTATTTTCTTCCACAATTTGATCTGAGGAAGTGGGTCTGGCTCAAGGAAGCTCATCATCTAATAAACCGTCTTGTTAGTCTTTAAAGTGCTACATAGTCCTGTTTTTTGTTTCACCGATCCATGTGTTTCTCTGCATCCGTCAGCTCTCTCCCAGCTCTTCATTTAAACTGCTCTACAATCTTTTTAATAAGTGCCAGCAGTCTGGTTCCATTTTTGGTGTAGGTGGAGCCCATCCTTCCTGTATATGCTCCCCCATCCCAAAAGTTTCCCCAGTTCCTAATAATCTAAATCCCTCCCTACACATTTCATCCACGCAACAAGACCCTGCACTTCTGCCTACCTGGCCCTGTGTGTTGAACTGGAAGCATTTCAGAGAACGCTACCAGAGAAGCCCTGGATTTCAATCTTTCCTAGCAGCCTGAATTTGGCCTCCGGATCCTCTCTCCTACCCTTCCCTATGTCATTGGTACCTACATGCACCACGACCACCTGCTCCTCCCCAGCACTATACATAAGACTATCTAGATGTCTCGAGAGATCCGCAACCTTTACACCAGGCAGGCAAGTCACCACATGGTTTTCCCGGTCATCACAAACCCAGCTGTCTATGTTTCTGTTGATGGAATCCCCCATCACTAAAACTCGCTTTTTCCTAATGACTGGAGTTCCCTCCTCCGGAGAGGTATCCTCAGTGTGAGAGGATCCCACAACATCCTCTGGAAGGAGGGTCCCAGCTATGGGATGTTTTCCTTCTGCTCCAATTGACTGTTCTCCTTCCCTGAGCCTTTCACCCTCCTTAACAGCACAGGGGCTGTCTGACCGGAGGTGGGACAGTTCTACAGTGTCCCGGAAAGCTTCATCTATGCACCTCTCTGCCTCCCATAGCTCCACCAATTCATCCAACCTGGCCTCCAAAGCCAGGAGGGTCAGGAGCACCTTGCACAAAATGCACACATACGCCACCCGCCCACAGGGCAGGGAATCACATGCTACACTGGGTGCAATAAACAGGACAGGCCGCATGCTGCTGCTGGGCTCCTGCCTGCATCTTTGTACTCCTACAGCTAATGAGTTCCTTGATAGGGTGTCTGATTAATGAGGGGGTTTTAGTTGAGTTCAAGGAAGTCTTAAAGAATGCCAAGTGTATCTAGTCTCCAGCACAACTCCTGCTCTGAACTCCCTCACCCCCTCCCCTGTTAGCTGCTCTAGTGTGCTAGCTCCACTGTGGCTTAGAAATGGGCTTTTTATAGCTCTGGCCTTCCTGAGTGGCCCTGCCACTGCCTAAGGCTTGACAGGTCTGAAAGGGATTCGGTATCGAAGAAGATTCCAATCGAACAAGGTCACGGGTGGGGCACAGTCTGAGGCAGTAACCCAGAGAAGCAGCTTGGTGGACAGAGGTTTCCTGTGTTATAAAGAGGGGGGATGGACCCTGTCTGAGCCCATGGGATGGGATGTAACTGCAGTTCCTGTCACAGGCAGATAACAGCTTGTTCCAACTTGTAGCAGAGTTCCACTGGTGCCAGCTCCTGCAGGCTAGAAGACAGCAACACTGATCCCACCTTCCTGAGCCAGCTCCACCCTGCCCTGGAGACAGCTTGGAGCCAGCACCTCCTAGTGGGGAAAGGCCCCATGTCTGAGCCCATGGGATGGGATGTAACTGCAGTTCCTGTCACAGGCAGATAACAGCTTGTTCCAACTTGTAGCAGAGTTCCACTGGTGCCAGCTCCTGCAGGCTAGAAGACAGCAACACTGATCCCACCTTCCTGAGCCAGCTCCACCCTGCCCTGGAGACAGCTTGGAGCCAGCACCTCCTAGTGGGGAAAGGCCCCATTGCATAGCTGTGTGTTAGACCAGCTAGACTGTCCCCTTCCTCACTCCTGCCATGTCTGCTCTTCCTCCTCTGCTGCTTATCGCTCCATCTTGCAGCAGTGAGTTCCACCGGCCATAGCCTAGTTGCTGAGCATATTCAGCCTGGACGTTCTAGAGGACCAGATAGTGCCCATAAAGGTCCTCTCCAATGGTACATTCCCAGCCCATCGTGGTACATAAGAACATAGAACATAAGAACGGCCGTACTGGGTCAGACCAAAGGTCCTTCTAGCCCAGTATCCTGTCTGCCGATAGTGGCCAGCACCAGGTGCCCCAGAGAGGGTGGACCAAAGACAATGATCAAGCGATTTGTCTCCTGCCATCCCTCTCCAGCCTCTGACAATGAGCCCATTGTGGTATTTCTCCTTTCCTCCTCTTCCACACTCCTCTCATCCTGTGTTGTCCCTTCCAAGTCTAACTCCTCTTCCGTCTCTCTGCAGGGCACCATGGAACAAGAGATCACAATTCTCCCACCAGCCATGGAGGCAAATTCCAGCCAGAGCCCCGCAGCCGTGAGTGCCACACACCTCGTCATGGCCGTGTTGCTCTTCCCCACCTCTCTGGTGGGTGTGGTGGTGAACAGTCTGTACCTGTGGGTGCTAAGGCAGAAGATAAGGAGGACGGTGACCACACTCTGGTTCCTCAACCTGGTGTTGTGCTACCTCCTCTTCACCCTGCTGATCCCCTTCTTCGCTGTCTACATCCTCCTGGGTTACCGCTGGGTCTTCGGCACGGCCATGTGCAAACTCTTCAACACCTGCATCTCCGTGGGCATGTTCTCCTGCGTCTTCCTCCTCACCCTCATCAGCCTGGACCGCTACGCCCTGACCTGCCACCCTGTCTGGTCCCGGCATCATCGCACCATGAGCCGGGCTAGGAACCTTGTCGTGGGTATGTGGCTGGTTTCCTTTGCTCTCAGCACCCCCTACCTGGCTTTCCGGGAGACCCGTGTGGAGGAGGGGGGCAGAATCATCTGTATCAACAATTATGCTCTCTCCAAAGCCTGGACCAGAGCTGAGATGCTGGATCGGGAGAGACAGATCCATGTGGCCATCTTTGTAGTCCGGTTCCTGCTGGGCTTCCTGCTGCCCTTCTGCACCATCGCAGGATGTTACGGCCAGATGGGGTTGAAAATGAAAGAGAAGAGGCTGGCGTGGGGTAGGAAGCCCTTCAAAGTCATGGCTGCCGCGGTGGCTTCCTTCTTCCTCTCCTGGCTTCCCTATCACCTCTACCATGGATTGAAGCTCTGCAAGGATGTTTCAGAGTTGGTGACAAGTGCCATGTTCGTTATTTACATTGTCACATCCTTCTTCAATGCCTGTTTCACTCCCGTCCTCTACCTGTTTGTGGGGGAAAAGTTCAAGCAGGTCTTCAGGACGTCTCTTCTCACCCTGGTCAAGGCGGCATTTGTTGACGAACTCGAGAGCAGTGCCCACGAGTCTAGTGGAAGACACGGGTCAGAAATCCAGAACATATAAGAGGGGATGATCTGAATTTGCCCAGACTTAGGAAGAGTTGAAAACTTGGTGTGCTCCATTCATTGTTAGATTCCCAATGGGTCTAAGGCCTGATGGGTTCCAGGTATTTCACTGTTCATAAACCCTGAGTATTCTTGGATTCTAGAGTCACAGCTATCTCCAGATTCTACAGATTTATCAGTATTTTCAATCTCAGACAGTCATCAGTGGCACCCTTCAATGGCACAAGAGCAGTTGCCAGATCCAAACCTTGTTAGATTAGAGCACAGTGAGGGTATGTCTACACTATAAAGTTAATTAGAACTAACAGATATTAGTTCGAATTAACTTTAATAGGCGCTACACATACAAACCGCTAGTTCGAACTTAATTCGAACTAGGTAAAGCTCATTCTACGAGAACTAATGCCTAGTTCGAATTAAGTAGTTCAAATTAAGGGCTGTGTAGCCACTTAATTTGAACTAGTGGGAGGCTAGGCCTTCTCAGCTTGCCCTGGTGGCCACTCTGGGCACCACCAGGGAAACTTGTCTGTCCCCCTCCCGGCCCCGGAGCCCTTAAATGGGCACAGTCTGGCTACGGTGCCCATGTCAGGTGCAAGCCTGCCAGCACCCAGCCAGCAGACCCTGCACCTGGCACAGCACGAGCCAGCCACCCAGCCCTCCGTCTCTTCCCGGGACCAGGCTGGCAGCTCCCAAGAGCCTGCCCGGGGCTACAAGAGGCGGGCTCCCTCCTGGGCTAGTGCGGACATCGTGGACCTCATCCACGACCTCTGCACTAGGCACAGGAAAGTGGCCGTCTAGGGCAGGATAGCTGCCAGCTTGGCCATCCAGGAGCAGGTTTGCATGAAAATCAAGGTGGTCCAGTGAGACCCCGACCCTGAGCTTAGAAAATAAAAACATAAGAACGGCCGTACTGAGTCAGACCAAAGGTCTATCTAGCCCAGTAGCCTGTTTGAATTTAAAGTCAATGAGATGAGACAGTCCCTATTTATAATGCTTAAACTCCATCCCTTGTCATTCAGGTTCCAACCCAGGAATCCTGATTCCCAGTCACCATCCTTCTCTGCTAAGAGTTGTATCATTTGTGAGCCATCCTCTCTTATGAGCTGGGGATCTCTCCAGGTTGTGGGACACTCCTCCATCCTCCGAAAGGACTTGAGCAAACCACAGGCCCGTTCTCTCCCTGGGGTCTGTCTCAATCTGTGAGGTGCTGGTCAAGCACCTGGGATAGCAAAGCGGGGAACCTGGAAGCCAGGACTCAGGAACTTCCAGGAAGCCAGCAAAGGCTGGTCCATAGGTGTTTTTTCTGCTAAGTGTCCAAATGATCCTTTCCAGACCAGGTGGGGTGGAGCATGTAGAAGACAGAGCGAGTTCAACAAACAGGGCAGGGCTTGGGGGTGGCAGCACAGACACACGGACGCTTTGCTGGGCAAACACATTAGGTATCTCAAGATTTCCTAACTGAACAGAGTTCTTCAGGGTTCAGATTCTAGATTTGTGTTTGTTTGGTGTCTCTTGGCAACTTATCTTCTAGGGTCCTGGGAGTTCTAGATTCCTGATTAGATCTAGGGCAGCGTTAGCATTTAGAACCAAATAGTTTTAAACACCATATGATCCCACGAGTTTTATACTAGCCTGACTCTAGAACCATGTCAAACTGCTTTTGAATGGCATAAAATCCCCTGTATTCCAGGTCTATAGGTCCTCGTGGATTCCAGCTTTCTTCATGTGGCAAAGCTGGGTAGGGCCCCTCGGGTTCTAGATTCCTGGCTAGATCTAGAAGCGTGGTCTCTGTGTGTGTTTTTAATCTCAATTGTTTCTCAGGTGCTAGAATCCTGACTCCCTAGAACTTCGCACATTCAACCACCCTCCCACCTGTCTTTTCTTAGAGCCTTGGTCATTCCAAGCACTTGGTAATAAAGCTGGTTTCATGGTGGCCTTCGAGATTCCTACCTGGCGCTGTAACTTCACGGTTCTAGGTCTGCCAAGGGTTTTAACTATCTGGAACCAAGAGCTCTTAAAGAAAACCCTTCCTACTGCTGCATCTAAAACGGAGAGGCTTCTTCCCTGTCAATGGGAACTAGGCTGGGGATCCAGAGGACCAATATGCAACTGAAGGAAATAAAATGAACCCGAGAAGGAGAGTGTTTTGTATCCCTTGTGGTGTTCACACAAGGGAGTGATGGACAGGAGGAGTGCTGGCCACATGTTTAATTCTTTGCGTATTCAGTAGTAAATGTAGTGTGTTCATGTAACTTATTGACTATGTTTCTTCCTAGCTCTTCAGGAAGAAATCACAGCCAGTGTGGGCCATCTGTCCAGCATGCCTATGATTTGAGGGGCATGTGATGGACAGCACTCCTCCTGTCCAGCACCCAATGACTAAAGGGTTAAACTCAGGTAGCTAGCAAGGGTGTTGGCAGGGGGCCAGAAGACCCAATGTGGATACGGTGCTGAAATCTGAATTGGTTACAGCTACCTGATCTTCTCTTCCCTTGTCTGTTGTAAGTAAGGGCTGGAGGGAGCAGAGGCAGGGACCGGAATGACCAGATCCATAAGAAATATGGGACATGGGAGTAACTGGACCTTGAAGTATGGATCAGCCCAGATTGTGAGTAGAGGGAGAAATGGATCTAGTCGTGACCAGGGTATTTGTCTTTGCTTTTATGGTTTGGTTTGAATGTCTGTGTGAATCCATGCCTCCCCTCCCCCATTCACCATCTAAGAGTTGTTCCCAGAGATTTTCTCTGTTTTAATTTGTTTTACTTACTTGCTGTGTAACACCTAGCAATCAAGTCTGCCTTACTGAATGTATCTTCTGTTGTATTAATACAAATCTCTTTTTTAAGGGGATGATTTGATTCTTGTGTCCTGGAAAGTAAGAGGGGGTCTGTGTGTGCATTTGCCTGCCTAGCGTGGATAGTCGGCTACCAGAGATTTCGGCTTGTTTCGCTCTTTTCCTTTTCCAAGCTCTTTGGGGCAAAAGAGCTTGTGGTCCTCAATAGGCAGGAATTCAAGTGTTCCCTTCTGTTTTTTAGGATGAAATCACTGGATGGTGGCAGCTCTTTGGGTTTGTTTTTTGTCAGAGCTAGTGCTATATCCAATTCAAAGTTCAGCACTGTATCCCCATTGGTGGTTCTCCCCTGCCAACCCCCGTGCTAGCTACCTGAGTTTAATCCTTTAGTCACCAAGTGCTGGCCAGCAATCCTTCTATCCACCACAAAGGGAAACTGAGGCAAGGAGCCACAGCACAACCTCTGTCCCCAGGGTGGCAGTCAGGAGGCAGGAACCCTGTTCCTGTGGGTTGACATGGCTCGTGTCCAGTGCCAGGCTGTTCCCAGGGCTGACGTGGCTTGTGATCAGTGACAGGGAGTCTCACATGTTCACACAAGTGATCGTATCTCTGTGGCTTCAGGTCAGATTATGAACTCAGAAGGAAACTCTGTAGCCATCTCGTGTGACTTCCCGTACAAGCCCGAGAACTTTCCCAAACTGATTCCTACATCAGACTAAGAAGAAAACCACCCTGCCCGGATTTACAATAGCTGGTGATAGAGACTACACCGCAAGTCTCGGTCGATGGTAATTCCCCCTTGCTGTGAAAGTTAATGATCTTATATCAAGCCTGAATTCGTTGGACCTTCCTGTGCTAGACTGACCAGCCCCCTGCAGCTGTCCTGACAGATCCCACGTCACTGTCTCTGTGCTGGAGTCCCTCAGTCGCAGACCGTGTCCACATGGGGGCGCCGTGTATCACTCCACGTCTCAGGCCAAAGGGAATTAAAATGCTTCCCTTCCCGGAGCCAGTGTATGTAGGCGTGTGATGGGGGGGAGGGATGCTCGGCCGCGGATGGGCTCCGGCCCTGCTTCAGTCAGCGGGAGTCTTAAAAAAGCCTTGTCGCTTCACCCCTACGGCCAAGTCCCACGCTGCAGGGGTGTTCACAGCCCCCTGCTGGGGTGCATCTCTAACAGGGGCCTGGCCCGGTGCCCTCTGCCAAGTGTCTGAGTCCAGTCCAGGCTCCATCTCTTTTCCCGCTCAAAAGGAAAGCGGAGCCTCCAGGGCGTCCCCTCCTGGAGACAGTGACCTGGCAGCTCCCCACTCTGAGCTGTGTCTGGTTCCACCAGCCCTTTTGACTGACTCCCTTCAGGTCTGAGCTGCCACTGAGCCTGCAGTTTCTCTTATAGTCCTCCCCGGCTCCTGGTTGGCTGGTTACTCCATGGCCTCTCTAGCCTCCTGGAGGACTTCTCTATAGCCTTAGGACCTAGCCCCATTAGTGTGTGGCTGGGTAGACTAGGCCCTGAGATCTCTTGCTGGAGGCCTTGTGGCTTTGCCTCAGAAAAGCTCAAGGAAAAGGGTCCTCCAAGCTGCCTCAAGTGGCGGTGAGGGAAGCAGCCAATGGGAGAGCTGCAAAGAGCAGCCAATGGGGGCCAAGCAGGCCCATATAAAAGGCGCTGCAGTGCACATATAGCAAAAATGTATATATTAGTATTGGGTATAAGACTAGCTGTATGATGCATAATGATTTGATGTATAATGATTTGCTTTTAAGTTCTGTAGCTTCTATTTCTCTCTCTGTCTCTCAGGATTAGATAATGTTACTGTAAGGCCTTGCTCCCTGTTAGCATTACAGATTACATTGTACCTCTTGTCTGCATCACATACTAAGTCCTGTATTCTAGCAACTATTGCTCTTGTCTGAAAGTCTGTACAGTTGTGTGGTGGGAGTGGAGGGTGTGTGAGGATGAGCCAACAAGAAGAAGTGGAAACTTTGAAGATAACAAGGAAACAGCCATTGTTCCTTAAGGCTGAATTGAATTAGCAGCATTGACGAACCCTGGAGACAGGCAGACACCCCTAAGACTGAGACAACAATGGGCAGCCTGACAATCCCCATTAAAGGATAACTCTGGGGAACACAGATTCACACTCCTAAGGATGGATGATTGTAGCATGACACTGCAATACCCATAGACTCCATTGGGAACTGACGTACAAAAAGG